TATCCACACCATTATTTCGATTTCTAAATATTGGACAGAAAGACAGTGTTAATAAAAGCAATATGAACGTGTAATATATATATATATATATATATATATATATATATATATATATATATATATATATATATATATATATGTAATATTAAAAGTCTTTGAACAAAACCTTAGAGCATACAAACAATATCTGTCTCAAATAAAACACACAGAAACGAGAAAAAAAATAAAAAACAGAAAAAAAAGCCCGTAAACCGTAATTAAAATGGCACAGAATGTTATAATCGTTAATGGTCTTTGGGCTTATGACTCATACATATGGAGATGGGTGAGCCGTAGTCTGCAGGAAGTGTATGTGAATGAGTCATGAATACACAGGAAGACTCTCCTTTCTCGTGTAAGGGAAGTTATGAATGGAAATTAAACTGGTGCGTATAACAAGGAGAGAAGGAAGTGAATATTGTTATCGCTATCATACTGATATCGCAGTTAGTTGTTATATTATTATTACTGATGATAATGACTATTATCATGGTTATTATCGCTGTTATTGTTATTACTATTACTATTATCAATATTATTATCATAATTTTTATTACCATTATCATTGTTATTTTCTTTTTTCTGTTATTGTTACTATTATTACCAATGTCATTATCATTATTACTATTGTTACTCTCATCATTATTGCTGTTATAATATTATAACTACTGATGATAATTACCATTATCATGGTTATTATTGCTTTTAATGTTATTATTATTACTATTATCATTATTATTATCATAATTTTTATTACCATTATCATTATTTTCTTTATTTTTATTATTACTATTATTACTATTGTCATTATCATTATTACTATTGTTATTGTTATCATTATTACTGTTATAATACTTGTCATTATCATTATTATTATTATCATCAATGTGATTATCACCAGCATCATCATTGTCATTAATTATTGGTATTCTTCTTATTATTATTATTACAATTATTATGTTTATATTATTAATAATATCATTATTACTATTATTATTAGTGCTGGATCTATAATTATTATCATTATCATTGTTATTTTTTCCTTATAATTATTGTATAATTGCTGTTATTACTATCAGTTTTATTACTCTTATTATTATCATTAAAAATATAATTATCGTTACATTCAATATAATTACCTTTATCATTATTATCATTACTGTCGTATCGTATCTTTTCATATATAACATAAAAATATATTCTACTAATTCACTGCTGCAAATCTGTCCAAATCAGTTTTATTAAAAATGATGATAATATTACCTCGGTATTGCGGCCACAACCCGGGTGGAAGGAAACCCCGAGAAAACCCAATTTTGACTTACCTAAATTTAATATGAGTAGCATAATTTAAATATCTTTCGGCTCGTAAGGTGGAATGAATTTATTCCTCTGCTGAGTGTACCTAAGATACGACGGTCACAGAAAACAATTTTTGCCTTTTTTTATTTTTTTTTATTCCATAATGGGATGATAATATACAGGTGGCGTTTCACAGTGGGTTTAATATCAACAATAAAACTTATTAGAAAGTCACATGAATATTCCTTTGTTAAATCGATTCATATCTCTAGGTAATTTTAACCTTCATTTGCCTACTAATTATGACTCATTAATCATTACGATAAATATAATGAAAATAAAGGTAAGGCGGGATCGAAACAGTTACCCCCAGTCCCCGGTATTTTCCATTATTACTTGGACAAAAAGTCATTAGTCTAACCTTCATTATTTCCTACTCCTACATTTTTTTTCTCTGGTCTTTCGTTGTTTATAAATTCATTACTTTGCACAATCGGAATTGTCATCAACAATTTTCGTTGTGGTATCCACGATCAAAGAAAAAAAAGAAAAAAAAAAATAAATACATAAATAAAATAGATAAATAAAATACTAATAAAAAAAATCAGGTTACCGTAAACACGCGAGGCGTGTTGGCTTGTCTCATTTTCCTCAACATTTCTCTGTAATTGATAACTCGCCTCAGTTACCACAGTTCAATTCATAAGGATTTAGCATTTCTTTAGTTATGAAGCATTACAACCTCCAATTAAAAGGTAAACCAATATTTCAACACCCGGTATCACGTACGTATACCTGCGTACCGAGATACACCTGCGTACGAGATGAAAGCAGCAACTCTTCTGGTGTAGGACGTGATGATAAAACTGCTTATTACTTCACACCATAGAATTATGAACATTTAATCAAATTAATCATTCCTGAATTAATGTTATAGTTTACTCTATTAGTTTTAAAGCTAAATTTTGCTATATTTATATGCCTTCAAAATAAACATTTCGGTGAGATAGATTTGGCAATTCTACATGGTCCAGATATCATTACAGTTGTAACCAATGTATCTTTAGAAAATGGAACCGATATCGATCACGACATTATTATTATTATTATTGTTATTATTATTATTATTATTGTTATTATTGTTATTATCATTATTATTATTATTATTATTGTTATTATTGTTATTATCATTATTATCATTATTATTATTAATATTATCATTATTATTATTGATATTATCATTATTATGATTATGATTATGATTATGATTGATTGTGATTGTGATTGTGATTGTGATCATGATTATGATTATGATTATTCGTGCCATCACCAATGCAGTGTTTGACGAACTACTTGGCGCCATGTTGACTGGGTCTGACCCATGATCCTTGCCCAGGGGAGTAGTTGGTTAGGTAATCATATCATTATTATTATTATCATTATTATTATTACTGTTATTATCATTATTATTACTGTTATTATCATTATTATTACTGTTATTATCATTATTATTATTGATATTGTCATTTTCATTATTATTAGTAGTAGTGGTTGTATTGATATTACTATTACTCATATTATCTTTTATCATTATTATTGTTATCAATATTGTAATTATCATCATTATTACAATTGCTTATATTAATGATGTTATAATTACTATATTGTTTTGATAATCGTTATTATCATTTTATTACAGTATTATTATTGTTATCCTTATTACCATTATAGTTAATTAATTATCATTAACATCATAAGTGCTATTATTATTGTTGTTACTGTTATGATCACTATCCTTATCATTGTTTTCCTTGATATATCCATTTTCATCATTATTACTATTATTACTTTTATATATTATTATTATTATGTTATTATTATTAATAATAACAATAACATGATTATATGTTATTATTATTATTATTATTATCATTATTATTATTATTACCAATATTAATAGAATCATTATTATTATTATTATTATTATTGTTATCATTATTATTATTATTATTATTATCATTATTTTTATTATTGTTATCATTATTATTATTACCGATATTATTACTATTGTTATCAATAATATCATTATCATTATCATTATAATTATCATTATTATCACTATTATTATTATTATATTTTTTATTATTATTATTATTGTTGTTGTTGTTATTGTTGTTGTTATTACTATTGTTATCCCGATTATTATTGTTTTTTCATTATCAATATTTTTTTTAACATTATTTTCACTATTTCTTTTGTTGTTTTTATAAAAGTTATCATCATTATTAATATATTCATTATAATTCTATTACCAAATGGTAATATTATTATGAATACCAGAAATATTTTCTTAGGTATCATTATTATCATATTAAAATTATTATCATCATTGTTATCGTTATCATTATAGATATTTTTCCTTATTCTTACTTTATTTTATTTTTATATCATTATTATCACTATTATTATTATTATATTTTTTATTATTATTATTATTGTTGTTGTTATTGTTGTTGTTGTTATTACTATTGTTATCCCGATTACTATTGTTATTTTCATTATCAATATTTTTTAAACATGATTTTCACGATTTCTTTTGTTGCTTTTATAAAAGTTATCATCATTATTGATATATTTATTATTATTCTATTATCAAATGGTAATATTATTATGAATACCAGAAATATTTTCTTAAGTATCATTATTATCATATAAGAATTATTATCATCATTGTTATCGTTATCATTATAGATATTTTTCTTATTCTTACTTTATTTTTTTTTATTATTCTTACTTATCATTATTATCATTATTATGACTAAGTGTAGTAGTAGTCATTATTTCTATCATCATCATCATCATTTCTATCATTATCATCATCGTTTTTACTATTGATATCATCATTATCATTGTTGATGTTGTTATTATTATGATTATTATAATTTGTTATTATTTTCATTATTAACATTATTTCATTACTATTATTATCAATTATCATTATCATTATCATTATCACCTCTGATGTTGTTATCGTTATTATTATTATTATTATTATTATTGTTATTATTATTATTATTATTATTATTATTATTATTATTATCAATATCATTATCATTATCATTATTATTGTTTTTATTGTTGTTGTTGATGTCTTTATATTATCTATCTAATCATAATGATAATTATATGAAAGAAATAACAGTAACACTAGTAATCAAAGAAAAATATAGGAACAACAACAATAAACAATAACAGTAATAATAGTAATAGTAATAATAATAATAATAATAACAATAATGATAATGATAAGGATAATAATGACAATCTTGAGTTTTATTAAGAAAGAATTATAAAATGAAACTAAAATCATTAAGGGATTCCCTGGAAAAAAAAAAATACGAAGTAACGAAGAATGTATCATTAGTATGATAGGTATATGAAAAATGGAAATATTTACGTTTATTTGATAATTACGGGTGAGATGTTACGTTGCGCATCTCGAGTGTTTTTTGTTTACCCATGAGCCCACGTATGACGCAGCTGTGGAGGTTGACGCCTTGTGTGCGAATCCACTTCGCAGGGAATATTTTTTGTTTCGACCTTTCACCGAAGTGGCAGTTATTGTGCACAAATCTTTGTACTCATGAAGGTATGTTTAAGGATATTGAAGAGTTTCAAAGTAATATCAGAAAACGATGATCATCATTAATATTGATAAATACACGGAACATGAGTTTGTTGTGTTGGCGTCGGCCATAATTTAAGTGTTCACTTTTCATGGATTTCAGCCAGTGTTATGTCTAATGGGCTGTGGATATGGGTTTGTGCCGTAACTGAGATGTGATGACAACTACTGGGAATCATGGATTGTGATAGTGTGGCCATTGAAGTGAGTTCAATGAATATGTACAATGTATGATTTATTTTGTGATATTGTTACGTAGATTAGTTAGTTACGTCGCACGAAATGTGTATTGGCATTCCTTGTATTAGTATAATATTGTGATATAAGCAGTTCATTTTGTTTATTTGGATTGAATTGTTACTTTAATATTCGTTGATGTATGTATATTTTCTTTTTGTCACAAGATAGAATATTTATTTAGTTACTCCTTATTACCTGAATGTCACATTTCAGGTTGAAACTTTGCTCCAATAAAAGACTGTTGCAGCTGATGGCTTTTCCTTGATCTCCCAGTACATTTCAACTTCAACGCCATGGGTTTGCAAGGGGACCTCAACGCCCTCAAGAAACAGAGGGGAACTGCTAAAGGAAAGTTCACCAGGAAGGTAACTTTATGTAAAGAAGGAATAGACAGAGGTGATGATCTATTAGTGTTGAAGACTAACTATGAGGAAGTAATAGAAGCATTTAAGTGTTTAGAGTGTAAGAATGATGAACTGATACAATTTATATCTGATAATGAGGATAAATTAGAAGATAAAAACCTGGAAGAAGAGGCTGAACAATATATTTTAGATAGTGAAAGATTAAAGAATGAACTGTGTGCTAAGATATTCATGGCAAATAATGAGAAGGCAACCGACAAACCAAAGGTTAAGGTAAAGAGATTTGAACCTCCCAAGTTTGAAGGTAATTTAAGAGAGTATCCTACATTTAAAGAGGATTATAAGAACTTGGTTCAAAGTGAATATGGTGCTGATCCATATGCACTCAAAATGTGTTTAGGTGGGGAGGCACTCCAGGCAGTAAAGGGCTCGGAGGGTAATTATGATGAAATGTTTAAGCGGTTGGATGACAAATTTGGTAACCCAAGGAAAATTGTAGACTTGGTGATAAGTGATCTCAAATCGCTGAGGAAGATATCAGATGGTGATACTAAGGGATTTATTAAAATGGTTGATCAGGTTGAACAATGTTGGTTAGATTTAAAAAGGGTAAATCTATCTGATGAACTCAATACAGCTAATGTTGTTAGCCATATTGAGAAAATTCTGCCTTCACTCCAAAAAAGAGAATGGGTAATTAAAGCAAGTGATATCTCGGTCACTGGTGAATTGTTTTCTGAGCTGTTGGGTTTCTTGCAGAAAGAAAGGAAGGTTTTGGAGTACATGAATTCAAATGTAAGAACTAGTACTAGTGATAGCAGAGCAACAGTACATCATGTTGAAAATGTGGTCGAAAACAATTCGGAGTCAGAGTTGGTTAAGCTGATGAGAAAATTGAATGAAGAACAACAGAGCAAGAATAGGGAATTTGAGTCATGCATTGTAAATTTGAATGAAATGATAAAGGGTATTAAATGCAAAGAGAACAATATAAGTATAGGTTGTTTATTACACAATTCAGAGAGTCATGATATAACAAATTGTTTCAAGTTCAAGGGCTGTAATAGCAAAGAAAGATTTGATGTGATTAAGAGGAATGGTATATGTTTTAGGTGTTTAAAGGGATATCATTCAGCACGTGGGTGTAAAGTAGGCAAATTATGTGATGCAGTCATTGAAGGACAAGGACCATGTAATCGGAATCATCATCCACTTTTGCATCAAGACAGAATAGAAAGCAATTCTCACAATGCAGTAATGGAGAAGAAAGGCAAAGCTTTGTTGAACATTAGTACGGTGCATAGTAAAAATCTGCCCGTCACTGTATTGTGGGATCCAGGTTCAGATACTTCCTTAATTACTTATAGGATGGCCAAGAAGTTAGGATTGAGTGGAAAGGACGTCAATTTATCTTTGATCAAGGTAGGCAACACAATTGAACATCAGTCAAGTAAAGCATACTGTGTACCATTAACTGATAAGAATGGTAAAGTTTGGAATGTGGATGCTGTCGGTATGAATGAAATATCTTCCAAAGTTAAAAGGATTGATTTGTCCAGATTACCTGAACTTTTTATAAGAATCTCGAACTTGGAGGTGGATCTCCCATGTGGGGAAATTGATATGCTCATCGGTACAGATTGTTGTGAAATACTGCCAAAGGTTGTTGAACAAAATGAGGGTATTCAGTTGCTGGAAAATCAATTCGGGTTCAGCATTCGAGGTAGACATGACAAGATTACCAATGGATCCAACACCAGCAATCATACACTTGTAAGAACTCATAAACTGTCTAGTCTCGTAGATTTGAAGGAAATTAGCGTAGAATCAACAGATACCTTAAAGACTAAATTGGACAAATTCTTTGCCATGGAGGAAATGGGAACAAAATGTAAACCACAGTGTATAAAGTGTATGTGTCGAGGATGTCCTGAACCTAATTGCACAAGTCTAAAGGAAGAAAGAGAACTAGCATTGATTGAGGAAGGGTTGTTATATAATGAGGAACAAAAATGCTGGCTAGCAAAGTATCCATGGCTAAGGGATCCAATGCATTTGAAAGATAATATCAAAGTAGCTAATGCTAGATTAAAAACAACGGAGAATAGATTGAAGAAACTTGGCAATGAATATGCCATGAAGTATCAGAGAGAAATAGAAGATATGATTAATAGGGGAGTGGCGAGGAAATTAACCAAGGAAGAGATAAGAGAATACAAAGGTCCAGTTCATTATATTCATCATCATGAAGTATTGAAACCAGAATCCAAATCAACTCCAATACGCATTGTCTTCAACTCTTCTGCGTCATACATGGGGCAGAAGTTAAATGATTTCTGGGCAAAGGGGCCAGATATCCTGAACAGCTTACTGGGAGTTTTGTTTAGGTTTAGACAGAATAATATAGCTATAGCAGGCGACATAGCTAAGATGTACCATACTGTCAAGCTCAGCACAATGGATGAACATACACACAGATTTTTATGGAGGGATTTGGACGACAATAGACCACCTGATCAGTATGCTCTTACCACAGTAACGTTTGGAGATAAGCCTAGTGGTACCATAGCTACGCTAGCGTTGAGACACACTGTAGAGAAATTTGGCAAGGAATATCCGGATGTGCAAGATATGATTATTAACAATACTTATGTTGATGACATACTGTATTCTACTGATACCGTTGAGAATGCATTCAAGTTAATACAGGATACGGAGAAGATATTGTCTCAGGGAAGTTTCAGAGTTAAACATTGGATTGTCAGTGGGCATTATGAAAGCTGCAAGGTCAATGTGATAAAATCTGACCAAGAGAAGATCTTAGGGTTGAAATGGAACCCGTTGGAGGATCATTTTTTCTTCACAGTAAAACTTAATTTTTCTTCAAGAATAAGAAATGTCAGAAGTGGTCCAAATTTAAATTTAGATGAAATTGATGATAAGTTTCCAGAACATTTGACACGCAGAATGATATTGAATCAGATTGCATCCATATATGATCCATTAGGGTTTGCTGTACCAGTATTGCTCAAAGCAAAAATTTTGATGAGACTCTTGATTTCCAAAGGCGAGTCGAAAGATGGCGGAATCAAGTGGGATGATCCACTTGATATTTCCACGGTTAGGGAATGGAAGATGTTTTTCAAGGAATTGTATGAGTTAGAGAAATTGACCTTTAGAAGATCCTTAATACCATCTAATGCAGTTGGTAAACCAAGCCTAATAATATTTTCGGATAGTAGCATGCAAGCATACGGAGCTTGTGCATATGTGAGGTGGCAAACTGGTGAAGACGAATTTGAGTCACATCTGATAGCAGCTAGAAATAAGATTGCACCAATGAAGCAAATGTCCATTCCTAGGTTGGAACTATGTGCGGCTCTTATGGCTGCTAGATTAAGAGAATCTATATTAAAGGAGTTTACATGGAAGTTTGAGGCAATTTACCACATAGTTGACTCATCAATTGTAAGATCACAAATCCAAAGGGAGAGTCACGGATTCAATACCTTTGTTGCAGTACGCATAGCGGAGATACAAATCAAAACTGACCCAAAGGAATGGTGGTGGGTCGATTCAACACAGAATATTGCAGACATGACCTCTAGACCATGCAAACCAGAGAAAATTGGGAGAGAGTCGGACTGGCAAAATGGACCCAAGTTTTTAACTTTACCAACTAGTAGATGGCCCATCAGGCAAACTTGTGAGGAGGAGTTAACTGACAGAATTGGTATTAGCATGACGGTCAATAATGCAAGTCATGAGAATTGTGGTATGCAATTAATTGATGTTAATAGGTATAGTGACTATTACAAATTGCTGAGAGTTACATGTAGGGTAATGAATGTATTCAAATACAAGTCTTTCAAAGGTATTCTAAGAAGCCCCACAGTTCAAGGGATTACAGACGCAGAAATATTATGGGTCAAAGAAATGCAAAAGAGCATGACTGATTGGGAAACAAGGTTCAAAAGATTGGGACCATCAGTTGAAAAGGGAATTATAGTAGTAGGACAACGAATTTCTAAGTGGTTGAAAGACAATTGGAATCAAGAAAATTTCATGTTAATACCAAATAAACATCCTGTTACTAGGTTGTACATATCCTGTCTACATAAAGTGGACCATGCAGGTATAGAGACTACAATGTGTAAGTTACAGAGGAAGTTTTGGGTTCCAGGAGCTAGAAAATTAATAAGAACCATAAAAAATAAATGTGTAACATGCAGAAAATTAATTAAGAAAGTGAAGATCAATGTATGGGTCAAGTGAGGGCAGAAAGGATGAAACCTGCTCCACCATTCTATCATACAGCAGTAGATTTGTTTGGGCCATTGACAATAAGAGATTCAGTTAAGAAGAGAACTCATGGTAAAGCATTTGGAATTATTTTAATTGCTTAGTGACAAGAGCAGTTTATCTGGATCTAGCTATGGGATATAGTACCGATGATTTCTTAACCACTTTTCAAAGGTTCATTGCTATTAGGGGGGCCCCTAAATTTATGTATTCTGATAGGGGAACTCAGCTAATATCAGCTAGTAAGAAAATAGAGAGCATTGGGGAGAAAGAAGGTGTGACCTGGATTTTCAATATGCCAAGTGATGCACCATGGTATAATGGTGTAAGTGAAGCACTGATCAAATCAGTCAAAAGGAGTATTTGTGTTAGTATTGGAGATTCTATACTAACTTTTGGAGAATTACAGACTGCCTTATTTTGTATTGCCAATTTAATGAATGAAAGACCAATAGGCTTAAAACCTGGATTTAGTTTGGAATTAGGTAGCTATCTCTGTCCAAATGATCTGTTACTTGGTCGATCTAGCTGTCATTGTCCTATTGGCTTGTATGAAATTGATGGAGATCATAAAAGGAGATTGAGGTTTATCCAAGATATTATAAATTCTTTTTGGAAGAAGTGGCAAAGGGACTATTTCCCGTCAATGTTGATTAGACAGAAATGGCATACAGCCAAAAGGAATGTGAAAGTAGGAGATGTTGTTCTAGTGCAAGATAGCAATATTGTAAGGGGGACGTGGAAACTGGCTCAAGTAATTAGGGCTGACCCAGGACGAGATGGGATAGTTCGTGAAGTTGATTTAAGATATAAAATAATAAAGGATGGCAAAGGGTATTATGGTGAGGCGGATAAGATCATGTGTAGATCGGTACATAGATTAGTAATGCTGTTGCCAATAGAAGAACAAGTTTAAGCATATGTACCTTGTCCATGTAATCTAGTCCACGGTAGTCAATGTCGAGGGGGGGAGTGTATCATTAGTATGATAGGTATATGAAAAATGGAAATATTTACGTTTATTTGATAATTACGGGTGAGATGTTACGTTGCGCATCTCGAGTGTTTTTTGTTTACCCATGAGCCCACGTATGACGCAGCTGTGGAGGTTGACGCCTTGTGTGCGAATCCACTTCGCAGGGAATATTTTTTGTTTCGACCTTTCACCGAAGTGGCAGTTATTGTGCACAAATCTTTGTACTCATGAAGGTATGTTTAAGGATATTGAAGAGTTTCAAAGTAATATCAGAAAACGATGATCATCATTAATATTGATAAATACACGGAACATGAGTTTGTTGTGTTGGCGTCGGCCATAATTTAAGTGTTCACTTTTCATGGATTTCAGCCAGTGTTATGTCTAATGGGCTGTGGATATGGGTTTGTGCCGTAACTGAGATGTGATGACAACTACTGGGAATCATGGATTGTGATAGTGTGGCCATTGAAGTGAGTTCAATGAATATGTACAATGTATGATTTATTTTGTGATATTGTTACGTAGATTAGTTAGTTACGTCGCACGAAATGTGTATTGGCATTCCTTGTATTAGTATAATATTGTGATATAAGCAGTTCATTTTGTTTATTTGGATTGAATTGTTACTTTAATATTCGTTGATGTATGTATATTTTCTTTTTGTCACAAGATAGAATATTTATTTAGTTACTCCTTATTACCTGAATGTCACATTTCAGGTTGAAACTTTGCTCCAATAAAAGACTGTTGCAGCTGATGGCTTTTCCTTGATCTCCCAGTACATTTCAACTTCAACGCCATGGGTTTGCAAGGGGACCTCAACGCCCTCAAGAAACAGAGGGGAACTGCTAAAGGAAAGTTCACCAGGAAGGTAACTTTATGTAAAGAAGGAATAGACAGAGGTGATGATCTATTAGTGTTGAAGACTAACTATGAGGAAGTAATAGAAGCATTTAAGTGTTTAGAGTGTAAGAATGATGAACTGATACAATTTATATCTGATAATGAGGATAAATTAGAAGATAAAAACCTGGAAGAAGAGGCTGAACAATATATTTTAGATAGTGAAAGATTAAAGAATGAACTGTGTGCTAAGATATTCATGGCAAATAATGAGAAGGCAACCGACAAACCAAAGGTTAAGGTAAAGAGATTTGAACCTCCCAAGTTTGAAGGTAATTTAAGAGAGTATCCTACATTTAAAGAGGATTATAAGAACTTGGTTCAAAGTGAATATGGTGCTGATCCATATGCACTCAAAATGTGTTTAGGTGGGGAGGCACTCCAGGCAGTAAAGGGCTCGGAGGGTAATTATGATGAAATGTTTAAGCGGTTGGATGACAAATTTGGTAACCCAAGGAAAATTGTAGACTTGGTGATAAGTGATCTCAAATCGCTGAGGAAGATATCAGATGGTGATACTAAGGGATTTATTAAAATGGTTGATCAGGTTGAACAATGTTGGTTAGATTTAAAAAGGGTAAATCTATCTGATGAACTCAATACAGCTAATGTTGTTAGCCATATTGAGAAAATTCTGCCTTCACTCCAAAAAAGAGAATGGGTAATTAAAGCAAGTGATATCTCGGTCACTGGTGAATTGTTTTCTGAGCTGTTGGGTTTCTTGCAGAAAGAAAGGAAGGTTTTGGAGTACATGAATTCAAATGTAAGAACTAGTACTAGTGATAGCAGAGCAACAGTACATCATGTTGAAAATGTGGTCGAAAACAATTCGGAGTCAGAGTTGGTTAAGCTGATGAGAAAATTGAATGAAGAACAACAGAGCAAGAATAGGGAATTTGAGTCATGCATTGTAAATTTGAATGAAATGATAAAGGGTATTAAATGCAAAGAGAACAATATAAGTATAGGTTGTTTATTACACAATTCAGAGAGTCATGATATAACAAATTGTTTCAAGTTCAAGGGCTGTAATAGCAAAGAAAGATTTGATGTGATTAAGAGGAATGGTATATGTTTTAGGTGTTTAAAGGGATATCATTCAGCACGTGGGTGTAAAGTAGGCAAATTATGTGATGCAGTCATTGAAGGACAAGGACCATGTAATCGGAATCATCATCCACTTTTGCATCAAGACAGAATAGAAAGCAATTCTCACAATGCAGTAATGGAGAAGAAAGGCAAAGCTTTGTTGAACATTAGTACGGTGCATAGTAAAAATCTGCCCGTCACTGTATTGTGGGATCCAGGTTCAGATACTTCCTTAATTACTTATAGGATGGCCAAGAAGTTAGGATTGAGTGGAAAGGACGTCAATTTATCTTTGATCAAGGTAGGCAACACAATTGAACATCAGTCAAGTAAAGCATACTGTGTACCATTAACTGATAAGAATGGTAAAGTTTGGAATGTGGATGCTGTCGGTATGAATGAAATATCTTCCAAAGTTAAAAGGATTGATTTGTCCAGATTACCTGAACTTTTTATAAGAATCTCGAACTTGGAGGTGGATCTCCCATGTGGGGAAATTGATATGCTCATCGGTACAGATTGTTGTGAAATACTGCCAAAGGTTGTTGAACAAAATGAGGGTATTCAGTTGCTGGAAAATCAATTCGGGTTCAGCATTCGAGGTAGACATGACAAGATTACCAATGGATCCAACACCAGCAATCATACACTTGTAAGAACTCATAAACTGTCTAGTCTCGTAGATTTGAAGGAAATTAGCGTAGAATCAACAGATACCTTAAAGACTAAATTGGACAAATTCTTTGCCATGGAGGAAATGGGAACAAAATGTAAACCACAGTGTATAAAGTGTATGTGTCGAGGATGTCCTGAACCTAATTGCACAAGTCTAAAGGAAGAAAGAGAACTAGCATTGATTGAGGAAGGGTTGTTATATAATGAGGAACAAAAATGCTGGCTAGCAAAGTATCCATGGCTAAGGGATCCAATGCATTTGAAAGATAATATCAAAGTAGCTAATGCTAGATTAAAAACAACGGAGAATAGATTGAAGAAACTTGGCAATGAATATGCCATGAAGTATCAGAGAGAAATAGAAGATATGATTAATAGGGGAGTGGCGAGGAAATTAACCAAGGAAGAGATAAGAGAATACAAAGGTCCAGTTCATTATATTCATCATCATGAAGTATTGAAACCAGAATCCAAATCAACTCCAATACGCATTGTCTTCAACTCTTCTGCGTCATACATGGGGCAGAAGTTAAATGATTTCTGGGCAAAGGGGCCAGATATCCTGAACAGCTTACTGGGAGTTTTGTTTAGGTTTAGACAGAATAATATAGCTATAGCAGGCGACATAGCTAAGATGTACCATACTGTCAAGCTCAGCACAATGGATGAACATACACACAGATTTTTATGGAGGGATTTGGACGACAATAGACCACCTGATCAGTATGCTCTTACCACAGTAACGTTTGGAGATAAGCCTAGTGGTACCATAGCTACGCTAGCGTTGAGACACACTGTAGAGAAATTTGGCAAGGAATATCCGGATGTGCAAGATATGATTATTAACAATACTTATGTTGATGACATACTGTATTCTACTGATACCGTTGAGAATGCATTCAAGTTAATACAGGATACGGAGAAGATATTGTCTCAGGGAAGTTTCAGAGTTAAACATTGGATTGTCAGTGGGCATTATGAAAGCTGCAAGGTCAATGTGATAAAATCTGACCAAGAGAAGATCTTAGGGTTGAAATGGAACCCGTTGGAGGATCATTTTTTCTTCACAGTAAAACTTAATTTTTCTTCAAGAATAAGAAATGTCAGAAGTGGTCCAAATTTAAATTTAGATGAAATTGATGATAAGTTTCCAGAACATTTGACACGCAGAATGATATTGAATCAGATTGCATCCATATATGATCCATTAGGGTTTGCTGTACCAGTATTGCTCAAAGCAAAAATTTTGATGAGACTCTTGATTTCCAAAGGCGAGTCGAAAGATGGCGGAATCAAGTGGGATGATCCACTTGATATTTCCACGGTTAGGGAATGGAAGATGTTTTTCAAGGAATTGTATGAGTTAGAGAAATTGACCTTTAGAAGATCCTTAATACCATCTAATGCAGTTGGTAAACCAAGCCTAATAATATTTTCGGATAGTAGCATGCAAGCATACGGAGCTTGTGCATATGTGAGGTGGCAAACTGGTGAAGACGAATTTGAGTCACATCTGATAGCAGCTAGAAATAAGATTGCACCAATGAAGCAAATGTCCATTCCTAGGTTGGAACTATGTGCGGCTCTTATGGCTGCTAGATTAAGAGAATCTATATTAAAGGAGTTTACATGGAAGTTTGAGGCAATTTACCACATAGTTGACTCATCAATTGTAAGATCACAAATCCAAAGGGAGAGTCACGGATTCAATACCTTTGTTGCAGTACGCATAGCGGAGATACAAATCAAAACTGACCCAAAGGAATGGTGGTGGGTCGATTCAACACAGAATATTGCAGACATGACCTCTAGACCATGCAAACCAGAGAAAATTGGGAGAGAGTCGGACTGGCAAAATGGACCCAAGTTTTTAACTTTACCAACTAGTAGATGGCCCATCAGGCAAACTTGTGAGGAGGAGTTAACTGACAGAATTGGTATTAGCATGACGGTCAATAATGCAAGTCATGAGAATTGTGGTATGCAATTAATTGATGTTAATAGGTATAGTGACTATTACAAATTGCTGAGAGTTACATGTAGGGTAATGAATGTATTCAAATACAAGTCTTTCAAAGGTATTCTAAGAAGCCCCACAGTTCAAGGGATTACAGACGCAGAAATATTATGGGTCAAAGAAATGCAAAAGAGCATGACTGATTGGGAAACAAGGTTCAAAAGATTGGGACCATCAGTTGAAAAGGGAATTATAGTAGTAGGACAACGAATTTCTAAGTGGTTGAAAGACAATTGGAATCAAGAAAATTTCA